AAACTTGTCACATCCATCCCGACAATCTCGCCCCATCTGCCGCCAGGATCACATTGTGCTTTCTGCTTACCTGCGTGTAGCAAATAAAACACACTACACGCTCAGCGGTAAAGCTGAGTAAGCATATCTAATGCGTCGAACATCCATATAAACTGAATCTAAATTCATAATCAAATCATTTGATATCATGCACACAATGTTCATTTCAGACATTCACAGTTTTGGTATTATTCAGTTCATATCAACACATTTTATTCAATTCAGATATTAATCCAATGGTGCTCTTAAATTATTCTTAATCTAAGGCCAGATCATAACAACGCTCTTAGCTATTCTTAGTCTAAGGCCAGATCATAATAATGCTCTTAGCTATTCTTAGTCTAAGGCCAAATCATAATAATGCTCTTAGCTATTCTTAGTCTAAGGTCAAATCATAACAACGCTCTTAGCTATTCTTAGTCTAAGGCTAGATCATAATTTCATTCTCAGACGCTTAAACTATAATTAGTTTAAGGCAAACATTTCTCAGACGCTTAAACTATAATTAGTTTAAGGCAACAGTTCTCCGACGCTTAAACTTTAATTAGTTTAAAGCAATCAATACTCAGACGCTTAAACTATAGTTAGTTTAAGGCAACAATAAGACAATAATTAATCATCATTAAGTCGAAGTATTTCCAAACGAGTGATCCTCTAGCTTAGTCTACGAATCCCGTTTATACATTTTTGTCTAATTCATCGAATATTCATGTTTCACAAATCCACACCAATATGAGATCTATTCTAGAGGTCTTCTAGATAGCCTTAACATCAATTTTCTAAATGTGTATACCCTAGAGTTTTTCTAGATACCCTTAACACTACAAATCATTTCATAATTATAAATGTATTCATTTTATTCATGATTCAATCATAAATACTTATTTTAATCAGTAGGTTCAATACTCATAATCATCCATAATATTCATTTATCATAATCATCAATTAACACAACAATTGATAATAAATAGCGGCCTAACTTCGAGTGTTAACACCCGAACTTACCGTCATGCAACACATAACATTTTTAGTTGTTAAAAACATCGTTTTTATTATGGTAAATCATTTTTATAATGGTCATAATCCATTGGTATCAAAAATAGGATTTTAGAGCTCAAAAATAGCAATTTCGGACAAATTTTCGGATCAGAACTTCGGGGGATCGATCCAGCCCTCTGGATCGATCCATATGTAGAGAAAATAGTCCCAGAGGATCGATCCAGGCCATTGGATCGATCCAGACAG